AAAATTATCTAGCATTGTAAATTTTTTTTAATCTAAAATTTTCAGGCATTGTATAAATTCATTTTTGTTAATCTAAAATTATCTAGCATTGTATAAATTATTTTTTAATCTAAAATTTTCTAGCATTGTATAAATTCATAATTTTTTTCCACATCCTACATGTATTTGTAAAATTCAAACAATGTTTACAAATCCCAGGCCCTGAAGAAGATCTCAATAAAGATCGAAACGTTGGCACGATAAAGAAAATGTTTTTCTAAATCTAGGTCACACCAGACCGCATCTCACGATCTCCAAATCAATGGCTAACGGTCACTAAACACCACACATATCCAAATAAACGTTTGAATAAGCAATGAATTTACTTTTATTATAACCACGTTTATGGTTTATCGTGAAATATGCTTTTTACAATGTGCAAATTATAAAATGATGTACGTACATTACAGATATTTTCATGTGAACCATATATTATGTAATATGATAGTCATTGAATGAGGTAGCATAATCTAGTAATTTTTTTCACTGTTTATGGAGGATAATAAACACAATTCCTAAGAATTTTATCAGTCCATTACGAACTTTTCAAAGTTATACAGTGTTAAAATAATTTTAAAATTCTTTGATGTCATTTTTCTAAAAGACTTTTTCGGAATCGATTTCGCGAAGGCCGCAAACCATAATAGGAAGTATTAATAATAAAACAGGGAATTTATGGCGCCTGGGACGGATTTATATCTTAGTAGGGGCCAGAATTGGTATAGGACTGAATTAATTTTGTAGGAGGCAATATTCTAAGACTAAGAGGGCTGCCTTAATATTAGATCTGCGAGGCCATTTCTTCCTCCCCTAAGGCCACACTCGATTCGATACTTACGGCGCCGTAAAACAAAATCCGTAAACATTTCAAGTAAGGTCAAAATTAAGTTAGAAGATTCGTATAATATAAGAACATCACTATCATTTCCGGGTTTTACTACTACAAGAAATCTTTACACTCTTTAAAATATTTGTATGTTTTTTTTGTCGATTTAGACGAATTAAAAAGGTAAAATTCCACTTTTTGTTTAAAACAACTCGATTATTTTAGTGAATATCAGGCAAACGTTTTCCTCTAGAAAATCTAGTATTAAAGTTATTGATTATTTGAAGATCGTGAGTTGGGGTCTGGTGTGATGTAGGTTTTAGAAAAACATTTTCTTTATCGTGCCAACGTTTTGATCTTTATTGAGATCATCTTCAGGATCTGGGATTTATAAACATTGTTTCAATTGTACAAATACATGGAGGACGTGAAAAAAATAAATTTATACAATGCTAGAAATTTTTATATTCAATCAAAGTAATTGTACATACTCAAAGTGATTGTTTTCTGCGTAATTGTACATTCTTGTGTGGTCGTGTTGAGAATGCCAGTAAGACATTGATTTTTTTATGTTTATATTATTTATCAATATCTCTCGGGGATAATTATCCTTTTTTCCTTTCGCTAATTATCTAATTGAATATCTGGTGGAATCTAAAATTTTCTTGCATTGTATGAATTCATTCTTTTTTTAAACCTAAAATTTTCTAGTATTGTATAATTTTTTTAATTTAAAATTGTCTAGCATTGTATAAATTCATTTTTTAATCCAAAATTTTCTAGCATTGTATAATTTGTTTTTAATCTAACATGTTCTAGCGTTGTATAAATTCATTCTTTTTTTATCTAAAATTTTCTAGCATTGCATAAATTTATTTTTTTAACCTAAAATTATGTAGCATTGTATAATTTTTTTAATCTAAAACTTTCTAGCATTGTATACATTCATTCTTTTTTAATCTAAAATATCTAGCACTGTATAATTTTTTTAATCGAAAATTTTCTAGAATTGTATACATTTTTTTTAATCTAAAACTTTCTAGCATTGTATACATTCATTCCTTTTTAATCTAAAATATCTAGCACTGTATAATTTTTAATCGAAAATTTTCTGGAATTGTATAAATTTTTTTGTAATCTAAAATTTTCTAGCATTGTATAAATCCATTTTTTAATCTAAAATTTTCTAGCATTGTATAAATTCATTTTTGATAATCTAAAATTATCTAGCATTGTATAGATTATTTTTTAATCTAATATTTTCTAGCATTATATAAATTCATAATTTTTCTCCACATCCTACATGTATTTGTAAAATTCGAAAAATGTTTACAAATCCCAGGCCCTGAAGAAGATCTCAATAAAGATCGAAACGTTGGCATGATAAAGAAAATGTTTTTCTAAACGTACGTCACACCTAACCGCATCTCACGATTTCCAAATAATCAATGGCTAACGGTCACTAAACACCACACATATCTAAATAAACGTTTGAATAATAAATGAATTTACTTTTATTATAACCACGTTTATGGTTTATCGTGAAATATGTTTTTTACAATGTGAAAATTATAAATTGATGTACGTATGTTAGAGATATTTTCATGTGAACCATATATTATGTAATATGATAGTCATTGAATGAGGTAGCATAATCTAGTAATTTTTTTCATTGTTTATGGAGGAAAATAAACACAAGTCCTAAGAATTGAATATCTGATGGAATCTAAAATTTTCTTGCATTGTATAAAATCATTCTTTTTTTAAACCTAAAATTTTCTAGTATTGTATAATTTCCTTTAATCTAAAATTTTCTACATTGTATAAATTCATATTTTTTTTACTCACATCCTACATGTATTTGTAAAATTCAATCAATGTTTATAAATCCCAAGCCCTGAAGATGATTTCAATAAAGATCGAAACGTTGGTACGATAAAGCAAATGTTTTTCTAACCTACGTCACGCTAGAAAACACCACACATTAACTAACAATTAAAGATATTGATGTATCAATGTATATATCGCTAAATAAATATGTAGTTTCTACAAATCGGTGAAAGACCACTGCCGAGAAATTAATATTTTTCACTGCTTTGTAAGACTCAAAAATGTGTGGTTTTTGCAAGACAAAGTTTTGTTTAACATATCTTTATAACTACATATTATAACAAAAACTGATGGAAAAATCACTGGTTATCTCGACCATAGCCGGGAAGTTTTCCTTTCTTTATGTAGAGATTCTTATTTCTTTAATTGTTTCTGTTAAAAGGAGTGAGCTAATTACAAGTTTGCGAGAGATTATAATTTTTTTTAATAAGGCTCCAGATTCCCTTCTTCAGTTCGAATCAAAAATATTATTTGAAAACTTCGTATAATTGCTTTATAACGAGAACTGCGGTTATACGCAAGAGTCAAAAAATACATCGCTGTTTCTTCATTTTTGTTATTAAATTTCGCACGTGTTTAAAATAACATTAAAAATAACAGAAGCAATGCCAAAGAATGATAGTAATTTTATTTGCAAACAATTATTAAATATAAAATCATTTTCTATACACATAAGGCATGGTTATCTGACCTTCTGCAATAGTCTACAAAAAATTACTAAATATTAACAATAATGAAAAGAAGAAAATATAAATGTGAAGAAACTAAATGTACAAAGTAATAAAATGTACTATGAAGAAATGTTTTGTTTTTTTTTAATTTGTAGTCTATCCATATTTGTATAATATTTGTGGGATTTTTCAAATTTCAGCATTTATTAAGGTTATAACTGAAAATTATTTCTGACAAAAATAGTATAATGGAAATTTAATGCTAAATTCAAAACTTTGATAGTTTTTTTTCTCTGAGGCTTTTTAGTATGGGACACTGTGGAAAGTGGAAGACATTTCCACTTTTATTTATACATAAGAAACATTTAAATATTTTTTGTCAACCAGGGATTGTAATTAAAAGTCAATGTTTCTCATCGAACTTAAGCTCTTTCAGAAGTGAAATTTTCATTCATGTTGTTAACCGTATAATTTAAGCATTTGTACAGTTCATGAAAGTCTCCACTTCTTGGAGCCCTCTAAACTCTTCTCCTTGACCCTGTATTTTTATCAAAAGCAAGTTAGTTTGACCGTCTAATTTAACTTGGGCGAGCATTTAAATATACACTCTATCTCCTCCCAGCCTGTTGCAGCCAATTTCTAAACCAAAATGTTTTATGCTTAATTGTTCTCATTGCTGTGTATTCGTTAATGTTTCATAGTTGTGATTAAATAATATATTGAAAATATAACAAAAATTAACTTTTAAGAGGAAGAAGTCCTTTTTCTAAGTAAACATTTGAATTTTGATATAAGTAAACAAAACGTTATTAAAACGATGAAATAATTTATGCATCATTGCCATCGTCCATGTTTTACCCCAATTTTGATTAATTGAATATACCAAAGGACACAAACGATGTCACTTCGAGAACTTTAACGGTCTTTCAAACCAAACGAGTATTTTAATTCTTGCGATGAATGAAATAGACACAAAAATTTTAGTAACAATAAATCTTCAGGGATGTTGTAACATTTGTATGTAAAGAACGAAATAATAGTGCCATTCGTTCCTCTTCAATCTTGGAGTGCTGCAGCAACTGCAAGTGTTGGAAAATAACTGTATTTGTATGTACATGCGGTTCTAAAACCAGACTGAAGAGGGGAGGCGGTTGCCCCCGAAATCGATATGGATATAATAAAAGGATATTTTGAAAAATTCCTGAAAAAAACACCTAAAAAGATCGTATAACTGTATTTCTATTTTCTTCTGATTTAATATAGACTCTAGTATAGACTAATATAAATGGTGCGATATTGACGTCAAAATCTGCTCAGAGAGCTCGACCTTATTTTAAATATATAAAAAAATGTTTTAAAATTTGACTTCGCTTATTTCAAACATTCAGAATGTATATTTATTATAAATAATGAATAGTAAAACGAATTTTAAATTCTATATTCAGTGGATAGATTGATAGATTTTTTCTAGGGCGATAGATTTTTTTCAATTTAGTACATTACGATACACCAAAAACTCACATACTAACGCCTGGTGTAAAAGAGGAAAGAAAATAGTTAAATTCAACCAACAAACAGCTGGGAAGGGAGCATTAAAGCAAAAGTAGTCGTCCCACATGGTCGCGGTTTTTGGAATTCGGAATTATTTGTAATTTTTTTTAAACAAGTTGAGACAAAATGACGGACAGCAGCGAAATGATGAGCATGTCATTGATGACTGTGGAGGAGGAGACAGAGGTGTCGCCGACGGAATCGAGGGCGACCGTGCCTCCGATGGAACAGCCCACGGACATGTCGGGGGTGACGATGCCCCCGGACGGAGACGACGACGAGATGGACATCGACAGGGCTTTCATACGTTTCGACTCCGACTCTGTAAGCCCAACTTTAAATGCCTAAATAAACAAGGGAATAGATGAGTTTAAAATATAATAGGGGTATTCACGATATGTAAGATGTTAACTCGTGTTAATTCGAATAGAGAAATGTCCGGTAAGATCGTGAACGCCCCCATCTTAGCATGTTAAACGTTAATTTTTACGCATGCTAAGCGTGTCGGTTGGTAGAACCAAAAATAAAGCTATAACAGTCCTTGAAGGCTTGCTGTTGTTTGTTTTGGTTTTCTTTTGAGTTAAATTGTAAGGTGCCAGAAGTTAATAAAAAAGGAAAATTAATCAAAATTGTCATTCAAAATGCTACCTATGCACTCGAAAAGTACTAACAAATGACACTCTTCAATTCGTGCCGACATACCTAACCTGTATCCTAACGTCTAACAGCCTGCAACTTTATAGCATAGGGGATGTATCTATTATGAATGAGAGTATAAGGACAGATCAGAAATTAAAAAGAAATGTAATGGTCTGATTTAATTAATGCGTATTTAAGAATAAAAATACATATAAACAGAAAACAGCTGTTAAATTCAGGGCTGCCATGTTGGCTACCAACGCCCTAACGGCTAGCAAAGTGACTACATTTTCGACCTACCATCTAACATTGGCCCTGGCCTGTTAGATCGAGCAATGTTAACTACCCGATTCTAAGAAGTCTACGTCATCATTTTTCTCGATCTAACAGGACCTAACAGACTTAACAGGGTTAACTCAAAGATCGTGAATACCCCCTAATGTCAGATGTTTGTTCGATCATTATCGGCCCTACTTAGCTACTCCTGGGCAGAAAAAGAAAACTACCGCATCTGATAGTGCGAAAAATTTATAACAGAATTATTATAGGATTTATATCAAGTAACAAAGTTATATAAATTTATAACACATATTACTCACAATCAGTACAATGTACTTTCGTTAGTATAACATAGATACTTCTCACTCAAAACTTTAACAAAAAAATTTTAAGTTTTAAATAATTATAATACATATTATTATATTACTATTTTACTATGTACTTAGTACAACTTTGTTACTTTGAACTTTACATACTATTATATATGGTATAACCTGCATTACCCGGGGTAATGATGATGGGGTCCAGGGATAATCGAACTATATTTTGTATTGATACGAATTTATTAGTTTAATTTATTAAAAATAAATGTCTAAAGAAAACCGAAGACACGCTTGATTATAGAATTTACAGTACAGATGTACATAGATCGAAATTGTTAACATTTTTATTTGAAGAATATTATCTGCTTTTTATTTTGTTTTTGAATTTAAGATTTCTTTCCTACGTCCGCTCTCGTTGCCTTTAATGCGATATTTTGCCGTAATCGGCATTTTCCCGTTCAAAACTGTAGTTCCTTCTTCTGTCACCTGAATCCGTTTAATTTTCTTTGTTTCTAACGATCTTCGTTGTCATAGCTCTCGTTTCCTCCGGCAATCTGCAAACATGTCGATGTTCGTCTGTTCTTTATATAGAGATCTGTTGTTATTTCAGCCTCTTTTACTTTTTTGAAAGTATCATTTTCCCTTTTAGTTAGTTGTGTGTAGAGATTAGTGACCGTTAATCGATAGTTATTCAGATATCGTGAGACCGCATCTCACGATATTTGAAGAACTTTTAGTTAGTATCAATTTCAACTTCGACGGTGTTCAAGAGTGAAAAAAGAGTTAGTTTCTTGCACCATTGGCAAAAAAAAAAATCGGAACGATTTTCCTACATTATATGTATATGGTTTGAGCCAACAATACGAAATCAAAAATGTTTTCGATAATGCTGCTAACAAATTCCTAACTTAGCGGCAACTTAGGAGCAACTTAGGAATGAGAGGAAGCTTTTTTTAGGGAAGAAACCGGAATACAAGAATATCTGCTTTGGAGCGACGGTGGCCGTAACGGTGCGTTGACACGGCGCTCATCACTATAAGGTAAAGGTTCCGGGTTCGAATGCAGGGCCGCTGGACATACTTACAAATGGGCTTTTTTTTTCAAAAACACCGGCACCCTGAGGGTTTATATAACCTCTGCTGTTGCGAACCCTCGTAAAAAATGTCTGTTAGATTCTTCACAAATAACGACGTAGTCGAGGTTATCAGGACGTTTTTGTGAAGAAGTGGGCATGTTGGAATATGGCACTGTATTGAGCTCAACCACGAGGATTAGGCGCCCGACAACCCATTGAGGATATTTCGCGTTGAAGTCGCTACATGAAACAAATTGAAGACAGGGGGATAGGAAAAAAGATAGTGAGGTGATCTATGGATCTGCTGGGCACAGAAGGAATAAGGTGATAGGATAAAGAATTTTTTGATTACAATGCATATAATTAACTAGGGTAACTAGGTCTTAGGTGGGCACTGACCTCTCGCTAGTGTGCTTACTTCTTTTCGAGTTATCCCAAGTTTATTTTCAATCATAAATGAAATAATAATACGGGAATTAAAGACGTGGCTCTCCAATACAGCGTTCTTCCCACTAGGGTAAATTTTATGCTCGTTTATTTTCTCGGAGCAACGGCAATACTCGTGTGTTATTCTTACTCGGAAAGACAAAATCTGTTCAGGGTACTTTCAACGCATTTGAGCTTCTTCCCTTCGATTGTCGCCTACATATTCACTACTGAACAGCAACACCGTTTTTACTCATTTATTCTGAAGCTTGCACGTTGACCAATTTTATTAAGTGTGAATCACAACTCTCTCAGCTTTATTCAATTCGATTTTGTGCCTGACTCTTCATGTACGACTTATTAAACATACTGATGATATTTTTCCTATATTTTCCTATACGTTCCCGGTTGAACGTACTGTTAAACAAAACGTGATTTATTATGTCACGTTTTCCACTAATATATAAAGCTTATAAAAATAATTTTTACTGATGATGGATTTTACTGTTGGTTTGTTGTGCGTTAAGACATTTTTGACGTATATTTCAATTATTTTTACGATAACACCAGTAGGCGTATTGTACGGAAATATTTGTCATACTGACTACCTTTTTATGGGGAAATATAATGTGGGACTTTTCCCTTTGAAATATACATATCTTTCGATCATATAGTTAATATTATGTAACAGGAATTGAAAAATACATAAACAATACAACATACATCAATAAATTTAACTCAGGTGTAAAGTCCAACATAGACGAAAATCGATAATGCTGATCCTCCAACTAATTTTAAACCGGAATTGTGCCATCTTCATTGAATTTGGTAACAGTTGAAAAAGAGACAAACTAGGTGAATGTTGGATCAGATGAATCAAGAATGATCAAAATAAGGTCTTAGTTGAAATAAAAAAGTCAGTGTCTCGAGCACGAGCAGGATTCGAACCCACGACCTTCGGCTACATACGGCGCTACTCTACCACTTGAGCCATCGTGACTTCGATCCTCTCGGACACCAACTTTCCATCTCAACCTACAACCGTTCGAACCTTCCCTCATTTTGCCATTTTCAAATGTCAAATTTTATATCTTAACCATGACCTTAGATGGAAAGAATAATTAATTGAAAGATGTAAACTTGGTCAGTTGACCACTAAAACGTAAATGAATGATCAAAATGTTGAGGATGACAAGAGTCAACTACTATTCACTAACTTCACATTGTCCCAACGTACTATCACCACATCTATAAAGCTCAATCACCTGGCTTAGATTGAGTCTGAATGCAGGTCAATGAAATCTATTTGCTTTTTCATGATTGACATACTTTAGACAACAATTAGTCTCCGGTTCTCATAATAATGTTTATTTTTAATGCTGTGATTATGAAGGGGGTTCTTTTTTACTTATTTTTACTATAATGAAGTTAACATTCAGTCAGCACTATATTATTTTTTTGTATAATTTTGTAATTTTATAGATTTATCCTTTGTATTAGTACTGAATTACTAAGGTCTTTTGATAGGCTAAATATAAAATTCCAAACTTATAAATTACAAGAGTTATACAAATATAGGCTTTTAACTAGTAAAATTTTTAGGGTTCCGATGATTCAGACAAGAAGAGAGAGCTGAAAACCGATGATCACGCAGGCAGCATCGTTGATTTCGAAGAAATTCTCATGGACGCGTATGAAGCCGTGAGTTCCTGAAACATTTTCTTCCAGTCGACATTTTTCGTGACGATCTTTCACGTTTCCAGGGGCTCAAAGAGTTGATCGTCAATCCGTCCAAAAATCAGGCTTTAATCGAGGTTATGGAAAAAATGTGGGCCATGCTAGGCGATTACAGGAAGCACATAGCCGAACGAGACGAAAGGATCAAGTCGAAAGACGCGCAGCTCTTCAGACAGACCGAGCAGATGTCGAGCATGCCGGCGGTGCAGGATGACAAAACGACAGAAAGGCTTAAAAAATCCGTTCGTAACCCGCCTTTGATTAGTGGATCGACCTGACATTTATTTTTTCAGGAGATAATCGATCTAAAGAGGCAGCTGGATGCCGCTCATATCCGAGAACAGGATCACCAGGAGACAATAGAATTTTTGAGAAAACAGATCGACAAACTGGAAGACGACATCAATAAAAGGAACCGTGATGAAGAAGACTTTGATACTGAGTAAGTTGTCATGTAAATCAAAAATATGTGTAGTTTTTAACATAACTTTGCATACATATTTTTTTTATAATAACGATTCGCATATAAACAAAACACGTTACATAATAATTTGATTATTTTAACTGAGAAGATTATTTTTTTACTGCAATTATAGAAGGTTTAGGATTTATGAAATTATGTTTTAGCTATAAGCCAATAATTTTATATTCTTTCCGTTTTTGTTCCAGTTTAGCTGCTGTGGCAAAAAACAAAGAGACGATGAGAAAGGAGAGGCAAAGGATGAAGGGCTTGCTAACCGAAGCGACAGAAGCCGCAGAAAAAATCAAAATGGAAAAGGAAGAATATATGAATATGTACAAAAACGCCAGTTCGCAGCTCGAATCCGTTAGAGTCCAACTAAGCGTAAGCTACCATGAAGTTAAATACAATGCGGCGCGATCTTGACTTTTTATTGTTGTCAGACGAAAATAGGGGAAGTCGCCAGGCTTGAACAGCTCGTCGAGGCGAGCGATAAAGAATTGGTCGACGTCAGGTCCAAGTTAGAGCAGACTGGGAAGAACTTGGCGGTTATCGCTTCGAAAATGGATGCTGCCAACTCGGCAATGGAGGCACAGAAACAAAAGAACCAGCAGTTGACTGTCAGTATTTAACAGTATTGTTTTTGTCTGTTTCACTTGATTTGAAGTTTGGTTCTTTCCTTTTCAGCTGAGCATAAACGAGTTGCAGTCCATCAATGACGACTATCGCCTCAAGGAGACCTATCTGAACGAGCAGGTGTACACGTTGAAGACCAAGCTGTACCAAGCGGAGGACGAGGTCGAAATGATGGGGAAACAGTTTAAGGTGATGCTTCAAGGATATTGTTGTATGTATGGGACGAGGAAAGGTTAACAGACACTCGGAGGCTAAAATAAAGTGAATACTTCTCCTAAAGGTGCACGATACCGAGTTGAGCAAGCTTAGGACGGAAGTTAAAAAGACGAAGGGCATGCAAGACAAATTCACAAAAAAGGCCTTAACCACAGATGTCGATAACGTGAGCATAGGCTCCAGGTTTAAAGACCTCGAGGCAGAATACAGGCTAAGAACGAGAGAAGTAACCAATAAAGAGAAAGAGATCACAGAACTGAACAAAAAGATTCATTCTATGCTACAAGAAAGAACCACGCTCATGAAACACATCCTAAACGCTACAAGTTAGACAAACTACTAAACTAAAAATGCTATAACTAAAAGTACAATGAGTTCTAATTTACAGATTTGCAAAAAACCAACATGAAACAGATCAAAACGCAGACAGTGGCGTTACGCTCCATGGAACTGGACGGGATGGCGATGAGGGAAGAAATACGAGTCCAGAAAAAGACAATCGATAACTTAACCAAGCAAAAAAACAAGTTGGTTCATTTTTTCAGCAACAACATGCAGTTGCCTAGAAAGCTTGATGAAATTCAATCCTAAATTTTCTTTTAACTTTTGAATTAAGTGATTTTTTTTTACCAGTATGTTTTCATAATTCCTATTCCAGGCTGGTGCTGGAAAAGTCTATTCTGACTAAGAAGATTTCGGACACTCTGGAAGAGGCCAGGCAATTCAAGATTCAAATGTTTAATCACAAGAAGGAATTGGCCAAGAAAGAGCTTGAGCTGAAGCGAGAGAAGAACAACATGGAAGCGCTCAAAGCAGAGAAAAGCCTTCTCTACTCTAAGCTTGAGGAGCAAAGGGTACTGTAAATAATTCCTATCCTTTTTAAATTGAAAATGACGTAGTTTTTTTTTAGCACCTGTTCACAGATTTGAAGACGAAAATGAAAGTCGTCACACACCAGATTGAACAACTCAAAGAAGATATACACGTTAAAGACGAACTGTTGACCAGGGAAGAAATCGGTTCGTTTTCATTTTCGTTTGTTGTTAAAATTGTCTATTTTTGACAAATATAAAAATTTGAATGAAAAATAATGAATTGGCTAAGATCAGCATATGAGAGAACACATTTTTATAATGCATACATTGCATTTTAGTGCAAACTATGGATACACTTATTGTTTCCTAACTAACAAATATCATAAACTATCATAATTTAACTTCTAGGCTAATTTTACCAACTATACAGTTTTGTATAAGATTTCGTGGTCCGATAGACCAAATAACATCTTTCAATTAATTAATCTTTATATAAGGTATTGGTTGAGATAAAAAAGTCAGTGTCACGAGCGGGATTCGAACCCACGACCTTCGGCTAAATACGCCGCTGTTCTACCACTTGAGCTATCGTGACTTCGATCACTCGGACACTAACTTCCCATCTAAACCCAACCTTTCGAATTTTATCTCCTTTTTGCCATTTTTCGATAATGATAATGATTTATGGTTCGGCCTAGCCCTGACCAGGTAGATTATGTTCCTTCTATAAAATAAATTTCCGCACTTCTTGTAGGTTCCAAGCGACTGCGAACTGAAAAGAACAGCATCTCATCTCATCTAAAAACTTGTAAAGAGAAAATCAAATTCGCCTGCACGGTCATCGAACAGCAGGAGGTCGAGAAGGTCAGCATGGAAAGGCAGGCGAGTATAAACAGAAGCGAAATCAATTCCCAGGCCAAGAAATTGGATCAGGTAAGAAAATACGATTTATAGTCTCTAATGCAACGACTAATTATAAAAATTGAAGCTATCCAGGAATTACTGTATGCTCAATACCCAGCTTGACCGCAGGACGGTCGAGTTGAGTCTCCTATACGAAAAGATAGCTTTGATGAACAAGATCTTGAAGCAGGGCGAAATCCAGTATAATTACCGGCTGGATGACATCAGACTTCTTAAATTGGAAGTCAAAAAATTAAGGTATTGTTAAATGACTAATCCCGTTCATATTATTTTTGTAACTGTAATAACTATTACAGTTGCCTAACCATTTTTCTTAGCAGGTTTAGGTTTTCCACATTAGCCAAAATTTGGCGATTGTTACAAAAAAAACGTATAGGAAGACGGGGAATCGAACGCGGACCGCGCGGTCGGGGATCAGCCGAGAGGTTCACGCCCTCTACTCTCCGTCAATGCGGTCCTCCTGATACATAAAAATGTTTTGATTGAATGAAAACCTTGTTTAAACGATCAATAGTTTGCACAAAAATAATTTTCTTAACATGTAATCTGTTAACGGTTTAGCTAGCTCATTCAACCAACCTAAACGAAATTGTTTTTCGAGTTCTTTTTATAACTTTTGTTTCTGTTCTTTTACAAGGACGGAAAAAGCGATTATTATGAAAGCTTTTGAAAACATGGCCGACCTAAGACATGAAATCTACCATTTGAATAAGGATCTAGCAGAGGAAAGGCAAAAATCGCAGGCCCTCCAAGAAGAAATGGAAACTCCGATCAATTACCATCGCTGGAGACTGTTGGAGGTAAAATAATAAATTTATTATTTATATCGCTATGCTAACTATTTAATATACTAATAACGTTACCAAGTGTTTTAAATTACCCTTAAAATTTCAGACTACCAAACCTTTCTTGTGATAGTGAAAAAATCCTAATTTAGATAAAAGCATGTTAACCTGTTAATAACAGCAAAGCTTTTGGCTTAATTGTGAATTTAACATTTAAAAAAATTATTCTTTTTAGGTAAGGGCATGGTTGAGATAAAAAGTCAGTGTCACGAGCGGGATTCGAACCCACGACCTTCGGCTAAATACGCCGCTGCTCTCTACAACTTGAGCTATCGTGACTTCTTCTAGGACACCAACTCTCCATCTCAACCAACCTTTCGAATTTTCCCTCCTTTTTGCCAATTTCAAATGTCGTGTAATCAAGGCATAGAAAATGGCAAAAAGAGGGAAAATTCGAACGGTTGTAGGTTGAGATGGAGGTTAGTATCCGAGTGGATCGAGGTCACGATAGCTCAAGTGGTAGAGCAGAGGCGTATATAGCCGAAGGTTGTAGGTTCGAATCCCGCTCGTGACCCTGACTTTTTTATATCAACCAAGCCCTTAACATAAAAAGAATAATTAATTGAAAGAAGTAACTTGATCAATTGGCCACTAAAACTTAAATGGATTAAAAAAATATTCATCAAAAATAATCAAGGATATCTTATGAGAACTTTGTACGCTAGTCGATTACGCTAGGAAGAAACGTATAAAATAATCAAATTTCGCACAAGCGCTGTGAAAATTATGGACATTTGTATTGGAATCATTCACCTCGGTGGGTCAATTGCGCAAAGTACTATTGGACCGAAAATTGTACTAGAACGAAAAAGAGTGTGTGCTCTCCTTTGTAACGGTAAACAGCCAACATTAGAGGAGAATCACACACAAAGAAATTCAACGGCTAAAAAGACGCGATTCTTCTGTAATAAGAGTCTAATACTCCTTCACCACCATTAACATGCAATCTCTGATTATTTTTGATGAACCAGGATCAGTTTTACTTAACCCTTATCTTCTCATTCACAACCACAGTCAAAACCCACCAGAAAAAGGTTTCCCTTCCTTCCTTGGACCTCCCCTTTTAGGACAAGACTGAAAGAAGCTGTTAAGTGCCGTAAGAGCCCCTAAATTTACAAACCATAGGAACTAATTTAGTGGCCGTGGTCCGTCGGTATAGGGGGGGGGGGTCTGTCTCCCTATGAATTACTTTACGCAAAAGATGTGATGGACACAGGATCGCTTATCGAGTGTCACTGGCAGTGACACAAGTTTTAGATAAATAAACAACATCATAGTATCATTATATTAGTATTATTAGTACGGCCAATGGGTAGTTTCTCCACTCGTATTTTTAATTGTACATAATTTCATTTTTCAATGTAATTTTGTATCGAATTAAACATAGACCACAAGTATTATTCTTTTTATGTAAGGTTTTGGTTGAGATGAAAAAGTTAGTGTCACGAGTGGGATTGGAACCCACGACCTTCGGTTCAATACTGCCGCTGCTCTAACCACTGCTCAAGTGACTATCGTGATTTCGATCCACTCGGACACCAACTCCCCATCTCAATCTACAACCTTTCGAATTTTCCCTCCTTTTTGCCATTTTTTCAAATGTTGTGTAAACAGGATTCGATTCACGGAGCCATATGAAGCCGAAGGTTGCGGGTTCGAATCCCGCTCGTGGCACTACTTATTCATTTCGACCAAGACCTTACATAAAAAGAATAATTAATTGAAAGAAGTAAATCGGTCAATCAGACCATTAAACATAATGGATTTAATGACAAAAATTAAAAAAAATTGCGAGTTTCATTTACAGATTGGCAATAAACAAATTGAATTGAAATATTGAAATCTAACCACTGTATACTTTTTTTTTAACAAAGCCATTATAAATGCATAACCTGCTTGAATAACCTGTTGAAATATTTTTACTCCCAAAAATGTATGTTGCAGGGGTCTGACCCGGAGAAAAAAGACCTAATAGACAAACTGCGTATGACCCAGAAGAAACTTTTCAGGGAGACGGAGCGAAAGGCCTTGCAAGTGGAGAAGTTCAGAAACCTCGAAGTCATGTATGCCAATCTTAAGAAATACATGGAAACTCTGCCCGGGCCTGAAGTCAGCCAAACTTTGGAGCTTACAAGGCGAGCCCTTAGGGAGAAGATCAACGAAAACAAGGTTAGGAGAGAAACCCATCCAAATTCCAACTCTAACGAACCGTTTTCAGCTATTTTCAGCGGAACTCTCGGCTTACCAGGGCGAAATAGAAGAGTACAAATACATAATCGAAAAGACAAAAAAGGAACTGGATGAATTCAAGAACAAATATTACAATCTGGTGAGTCCCTTTAAAAAGTTGGTTGAATTTTTCTGAAAAAAACACCGTTTATCCTCAGAAATCCAAGAGGGGGTGCCCGATGAACGAGTCGCATGCCACTTCGCTAAAGACGAACCTCATGTCACAGTCTAACATGGATAAATCTGTCAGGAACGTGGTGACTTTAGTTCCTGGCATCAGTGAACTCGAAAAGTCTCCGGACAATAAAGACCAAGATATGTGAGACATGAAACAGGTAATTTAAGAATGTAAAATTTAACACAAACATGCACACACCACGACAGATGTTAATAGATTATAGATAGAAAGAGGAAAGAAAGAAAAAGCGAGAGAGAGAGAGAGTGAGTGAGTGGAAGAAAGAGAGTAAGAAAGAAAGAGAGGGTGTGAGTGAGTGAATGAGAGAGAGTGATAGAGTGAGAGAGAGAAGGTGTGAGTGAAGGAAAGTGGGTGAGTGAGACGGAGAGGGAATGAGAAGGGGGGAGAGAGAGAGAGAGAGAGAGTAAAAAAAAGAGTGTGTGAATGAAAGAGAGTGATGAAGAGAGGGAGAGGAGGTGAGAGTGAAGGAAAGTGGGTGAGTCAGACAGAGAGGGAGAGAAAAAGGGAAGAGAGAGAGAGAGAGAAAGAGAGAGAGAAAGAGTAATAAAAAAGAGAGTGTCTGAGTGAGTGAATGAGAGAGAGTGATAGAATGAGAGAGACGGAAGGTGTGAGTGAAGGAAAGTGGGTCAGTAAGACGGAGAAGGAGAGAGAAGGGGGAAGAGAGAGAGGGAGAGATAGAGATAGAGAGAGAGAGTAAGAAAAAAGAGAGTGTCTGAGTGAGAGTGAATGAGAGAGAGTGATAGAATGAGAGAGAGGGAAGGTGTGAGTGAAGGAAAGTGGGTGAGACGGAGAGGGAGAGAGAAGGGGGAAGAGAGAGAGAGAGAGACTAAGAGAGTAAGAAAAAAGAGAAAGTGTTTGAATGAGAGAGAGTGATAAAGAGAGAGAGAGAGAGAGAGGGAGAGAGGAGGTGTGAGTGAAGGAGAATGGGTGAGTGAGACGGAGAGAGAGCGAAAAAGACTGAGAAAAAAAGAGTTAGAGAAAGAGAAAATGAATAAGTAAGTGAGCGAACGATTGAAGTTTATCTCACTCAATGAGATAAACTATGAGAGGGGGTTCGCGAGTGAGGGGGAATATAGATGTGACTCTCTAACATGACAGCTTTACTAATATAGATAAAATATAGATAATTAAATTATAAAATTTATGCATTTACTTCTTACAAAATTAGAAACCTGATATACTTCCTAAGGTAAATCATTTGAACATAGAAACAACATAACAAAGCATAAACCAGTGGAAAAAAGAAAGACCACTATAATGACAAAGATTTGTCACATAATGATACATTTATTCTACTACAGCACATTGGGATTAGAATTGCATTTAGAATTATTTTTTCATTTTATTTATTTAAATCTATAATTGCATAATTAATATACAAAAAAAATAATAATAGAATTTTCGGACTGGTTGTTTTTCAACTAAGTCTGTTTATTTAACAAAATACATAGGTACAAGAAAAACAAAAATATGATTGATACATACAATATTATCAATTAAAATTATAAGGTACGAAACATAATTTATGTTTTAGTCGTGCCTTTTTCTTTTTTTTTTCGTTTACTCGAATTCTTTTCTACAACTACAGTTATTATAAATACAGAAAAACCTTAAATTTAAATCCTATTTAAAACATCATTTGTCCGCCAAGGAGAAAAATGGTCAAAATTATGTTAAAGTAGTGAGCAAGTCGCCAGCTTTCGATCACAGTTGAGGCAATTTTTCGCTTGATGAACCCATCCGTCTACCCTGTCATTTCATGTTCTTCAAAAAATAACACTACATGCGCACACCAGTCCCTCATATACATGAAATATTTATAAAGATTACAAAAATAAGTTTTATTATTTTCTTTTCCTAATATAGAGCAATATTTTTCCTTGCTTTTCAGAAAGTGGTCTGAGTAACTAATCTACTATTTAAATGTTTACTCCTTATCCAAATATCGTTTCCGTTTCTTTGTTAGTAGATTAAATCTAAGTTTCTTCTTAATAAACCGAAAATTTAAAAGACAGGGAACGAAATTCAAACGTAAAGCAAAAGGGTGAAATGTTCATGTAAAAAGACACAACCTAATTTACAATTTTACATAAATAGGCATCAGGACTTTGTCAATTAAAAAAAGCTAATATTATAATTGTTATTTTAAACGTTTCCTACTTAATTCAATTAAAATAGAAACTAAAAAAAACATAGTACAAAGAAATATATATTTTATAATTTGCATCTGCCCAGCCAAAAATTTACAAACGTAAAAACGTGTACAAAACAGGTTTTAAGGTAAACAACAAAATTCCCCCGAGAGAAAATGATTGAAATGAGCGTATCACATTTTTTGATTTGAGCTAAGTACCTCACAAAGTTGATGGATAAAAGTTGGCAGGGCCGGACTAAGAGAAAAACCTGACAGTTGTCATGTCCTGCTTCGATAATAAATTATCCCCATATGACACTCTTTACAATATATACAATAGAATGGTGGCAAAAAGGGATGGTGCGTTGTGGACTAGTCCCTTTCCTGACCATCGGCAACCGCGGGTCGCCGCTCAACCCCTCTTGAACTTGAGCACGAGTATGGATATTGTGAGGAAGCCGATGATCCATAGCCCGGTGGAGATGAAGCCCAGGTAGACGTCCGGCTCGTCGATCGACCATCCTCTCGTCAGCATTGACCGAAGTGATGTCGTCGCCATCGTCAGAGGCAAACACGCGCTGATGTATCTCAGCACGATCGGCATCCCTTCTACTGGCCAGATAACACCTGAAATTTTCAATCGTTAACGTTAACTTTCTGTTATGTTTCAGATTCTTACGTGAGAACGGAATAATTTGTCATGATAACTACCGATTTATACTACTTTTCTTCAGGACGGTTGTAATGTGTTAGAATTTCCTATCTGTCTATAAATATGAATAAAATCGTACTGTCCACTACTACCCTGCTAATCTCTTTATTGTCCTTTATAGTATCACAAAACTTAGCAATAGTGATTATTTAATTTGTAAAACAATATATAGAAAAAACGAAATCCTAATGCAAAAAGTCCAATTGATAGGCTTAAAATTGACCAGCCAAAATTAAAATTTGTTACTTTCATTGAGAACTCCAGCTATTAGGCCTAATCTTTCTGTGAATTAATAACTACTTAAACAAGTGCAGTCAACAAAAAAAAAACTTTTTTTGGACATCTAATAGGTTAATCTTATGCTACAAGGACCTAAAAGTGAATACAACATAATAATCATATGTGTGGAAGTGTAGTAAAGTATTCAAAGCCTCTTACAAATAGGGTAATTATTATTCATTAAAAAATGTGGAAAATTAATGTGGAAAAATATCCTACATCAATATACAGGGTGATGATAAGTGTCGAAAATTTCAGGAGGTGTTTCTACTCACCATCTGCCACAAAAAAACTATCCTATAAACCCTTGTCCAAATCTCAACGATAAGGAAGTAATTTCAGGATTTAGTTCTTTTTTTCGACCTAGTTCCCTTAAATTGTTTATAATCTTCAGAATTACTGATTGTAGAAAAATCTGGTTTGTGCCACCTTAAAGAACGTTAAATTTGCAGTTCTGAAAGAAAAAATCAGAAAAACATAAATGTTGAAATTTAGACTTTTTTTGGAAATTGTTATGTTCCGTATTCCATTAGCCTCCAAGAGTATACCCAACTTTTGGATTGCGCTTTTGATTTGGAAGGACCAAAAATTTTGGATTTTTTTTTAAAAAACCTGTTTCGATTAAAGAGGGGCATGCTCAATTTTTCCAGAAAATCCGTCTGGCTCTTGAATTTAGTGTTCTTTATAGTTCGATTCAATCAGTTTACTTTAAGTTGTCAGATGATAACATCCTCAGGTTGTACCCTCACCATTTTACGAGGGTGCAAAGTTTGGATCGAAATGACCACCAGTAAGGAAGAGGAAAAAATCGTATCGCTTCTCAACCCTCAGCCTCTGATAAAGTCGTTGGAAGTTGCGATCTGCTGGAAGGTCTCGATTTGGAAAACGAGCATGGTATTCTCTCCCTGATGAAGTAATGTAATGCATACCAGCAAGATGTTCATTAGGAAACAAAGACATATTTGAAATCACCAACATGAGGATGTTGTCACCTGATAACATAATGCAAACTGATTGCATCGAACTATAAAAAACTGACGCGAAACTCAAGAGCCAGGCGGATCTCCTGGAAAAATGTGAGTATGCCTTTTTCATCGAAACAAGTTGTTTTTTTAAATCAAACATTTTTGGGCCTTCCAAAAGCGCAATCCAAAATGTTGGGTTTATCGTTGGAAGCTAATGGAATGGGGAACTTTTGACGGAATTTGCAAAGCTCCAGGAGTTTGTAGTTGTTAACAGTTAACAATCCAACATTTTTCCAAAAATTCCAAATTTCAACGTTTTTGTTTTTTCTGAATGTTTCGTGCAGAACTTTTCCATCAATTCTGCAATGTAAATGAGATTTCTTACAAATTTAACGTTCTTTCAGGTGGCACCAGCCAGATTTTTTTATAATCAGTTATCCTGAAGTTTATAAGCAATTTAGTGGACCTAAATCGAAAAATAAAAAAATTGAAAAAACCTGAAATTACTTCTTTACCATTGAGATTTGGACAGGTTTAAAGGAAGCTTTTTTGTTGCATATGGTGAGTAAAAACACCTCCGGAAATTTTCGACACTTATTGCCAGTCACCCTGTATACATTAAACAGGTAATAAAAGAGAAAAATCCCCCGGCTGAAAAAGTTTTGCCATCTAGGTGAGATTTGGTTATTTGTTCTTATTTTTTAACACAAGATACTTATTTTTACTTTTACATTAATTCATTTTTTTACTCTATACTATCAGAAACTTAAATGCTTGTATAACAGCTTTTGTGGTATTTAAGTTATTATAAATATTAATACATTTTCGGTTTAGTGGCCTAATTGACCATATTAATTATTTCTGAAGATCGTGGGCTCGAATCCCGCTCTTGACACTAGCTTTTTCATCTCAACCAAGACCTTACATAAAAAGAATAATTAATTGAAATGTATACTAAATTACAAACTGATAGTACAGTTGACCTGACCACTACTAATTTACCGTACTCAAGGAAAATGATAAGGTCCAGTTGAAATGTACAAAATAAGATGGAAAAAGTTATGAAGGATAGACTAGCCAAAGACAAATTTTATTACTCTCGATGAATGTTCATTACCAACAAATGTACATAAAGTATGGTGAATTCAATAAATCTATAATTGAATATTTTTCAATCATAATTAACATATAGGTTCTCATTATTGTGACAAAAGTAAACAAGTCATACTACTTACCACTGAGCAGAAGTGTAGGATAAAAGCTACCCAAGGCGAGTTGAATTGCGTTTCTTTCAAGCTCACATATGGCAGATATTACAAACCCTTTGAACAAAAACAAATTTATTAAAGCGGCTGGAAAAAGGCCAACGAGACTCGACTTACCGAAACACATTCCACACAGCCCTTGCAGGATGGTGAGTATGATGACGAGGAAAATATCGCCCTTGCATTCTACTTTGAAAACGAGTATCATAAAGATGAGGACGAGAGCCGTCTGCCCGCACATCACCACGAACTGCGTGATGACATGGGAGAAAAGTATCTCGTGCGGCAGCACCCCGGCGACCCAACTCCTGTCCAGGAGACCCTCCATCCTTTCGATGATGAGCGCCGAAGAAGTAAGAGCCACGGCCAAGAAGAAAACAATTCTGAAATATCATTTTTCGTTTCAATAAAAACATTTTGAACAAGTTAACTTCTTAGAAAAAAAATTGTTTTAAATAATGTAGGGCTATCACAGTTATTGCAACAGTCGTTTTGTAACTAATAAACTAGATGTAAAAATTCATTAAAAAATGCTTTTTAAGAAAAAACGAACTGCGATATGCCATTCATTATCCATTAATTAAACCCAATCCCAGTTAAGGACTTAAGGTTTATAAAAATAAACATTCATATTATTCCTGTCTCATTTTTCATTGAAAAAACAGTAATCATTCAATTATAAGCCTTAAGCCGGGAACACACCCAATGCAAGGACTTGCGACGCTACCCGACGCAAATCCAAAGTCATTTTTCCATAAGATTGTAATACCCTCGTGCACATCTGCCCGATGCCTTGCTACACTACCCTACTCTACGCTAAGCGATCCCCACTGTCCAGATTTTCGTCGGGTCGCATCGAGTACAGTCGAAGACAAAAGAACCGGACACTTATACTTTTATTCAAACTACGTGTATTATTGCCGTTATATTAATTACAACATACCTTATTTTAATGTAAACCAAATTAACCGAGTTCAAAAATTCAATAGTTTTTATTTTAAAAAAACGGTTTGGTAGAAAATTGATCAAAACACCGGAATACCATTTTTTGATATAATGAATTTAACTAACAATTTATTTCATGGTTTTGCTCATAAAATTACACAATTTTCGTCGAGTAGCTTCAGAACAGAACACTAATTTTTTTAAGTTTATTTCAAACTAAGTATATGTAATTTTGTTTACATTGATTACAACATTGACATCATTTTAATGTCAACCAAATTAAACGAGATCAAAAATTCATAAGTTTTTATAAAAATTATTTAATTATGACAATTAGGCAGAAAATTTATAAAAATACCGGAATAACTTTATTTGGAACAATTAAGTTTAACAAACAATTTATTGCATGGTTGTGCTCATAAAATTTAACTAACAATTTATTACAAGGTTTTGCTCAAAATAGTGCATTAAAAACAAAAGAGCGTAGCAATTGTGATAGTGATTATTGTGATACACGCTGTGTGATTGTACGTGCGCTTGACGTCGCATAGACTAAAAGTGCACACCCTACCAAAACGTGGCAGCCGTCGGGTAGCATCGGGTAGCGTCGCATGGCGTTGCATCGGGTAAGTGTTTTCCCGGCTTTACTGTATCAAATCATTTATTTCCAATTTCATGATGAAAATTAAGAAATGTAAGGAATTTTATACATTAACTAAAAACGCATTTTGATCTCTCAACACAAATCGATTCTTTCCATCTTTAACAAATTATCGAATGACCGTACCATTAGGTTGTATATAAACCTTTAGAAAAAAGCCCCGAAGAGAATTACTTTTTAAATAAACGACGAGCTTTATTTCTGTAATTCAATTGATTCAAAAGTATTGATTTATCTGAATTGGAGTTACTTACGTTAATATAACCCCTGGCGCCACAAAATCCGTGAAACTAGGGTTATTGCTTCCATAGATGGGTTCTCGAAACTGTGAAAAGATGTTTTATATTAAAACCCTGATTTTTTATATGAAATAGGAGGAAGAATGTGAACACCAACCTGGATGGGAATGTCTGCCAGTTTGGGATTATTACCGCATGTCTCGAGGAGGCTCTGGGCGAAATCCCGGTAGGCGACTTGCAAATCCCTGTTCAGCATTAAACCGATTTGCTGGTCTGAAATCGCAATAGTGTAAAACGTTAAATTCCAGATTTTGTTAAGGTTTTAGATAAACGGACTAAGTGCATTGGCATGCGGACGAAGCACAATACCACTCGGTGGTCTTACTTGACATATCGAGCCAAACTCGCAGCTCGCTTTGATCGAGAGTCTCGTCGTCCGAATCCCTTCCGAGGGCCATCCTGGCGACGAGAGCGTCCGTGAAGTTATCGGTGAAGTAAATCGCTCCCCAGGCGTCGCCCACCTTCACTGCCTCGATAGCGCTTTCAGGCGTCTCGTAATAGTCCTGAAAAAGTGCAAGAAAACGTGCGAGTGCTCAGACACGAAACACAACAACCGTGTGAATTCTAAAACGGGTGGGAAAACGCGGTCGTGCTCGTCTTTTTCGACGTTCACTCACTGGACATGTCCAGCCAAGCCTTGATTTCCGAATGTTCCAACGTGTACTCGTCGGCGTCCACTCCGAGTATGACCCGGGCAGTGAGCTCTTTCGAGTAATTGCTGTTGAAGTACAACAATCCCCAGGCTTGCCCGTTACGGACGGCGGCCAGGCCTGGTTCCACACTCTCGTAGTAATCCTAAATTTTCCCGGAGGGTTTTGAATATGTCCATTGTCTTGGATCGGCGAGGTTGAAGAATGTCGTGATTTAAAATAGCACATAAAATACACCGTCATTGGCTATGCTTTGATGTAATGTTTTTTAATACATGATTCGAGTTGTGAACTAATGTTTCAGTACAAACATTTTATTATACTTTACAATTGGTTTGCAAGTATTACTGCAAATTATTCTAATTAAATGTTCCATTCCATTAATCGACATTTATCAAACAAAAAATCTGATTGATTAAAAAATTGCTCATCAATGCTCTGATTTTACATATATTTAATTTCATAGATAATTTATTGTCTGTATTTTCTCAACAATAATGTAACTTTTTAAACTAAAAACAAAAAACTGACAGGCAAAAAAATTCCATCCACTTGAAATATAACTTGATTTGTATATATTCAACATGAATAATAAAACAAATAAAAAATTATAAAAAAGGACGGACGATATAATTTGTTTTAATTTTGTTCTAGATTTTTAATTAACATTTCAATATCTCGTATTTCCTTTTGCATTAATTTCATTTCGAAAATGCCTGGGCATTCTTTCTACCAGTCTGCAAATGTCTCTTTGTTGAAGGTTAGCCTATTCTGCACGAGGAGTCCTTCAAGATCGTGGAGTGTATCTGGAAGTGATGGACGAATTCTTAATCTGGGCGCACACTAGGTCGGTGGCGCGGCGCGGAATTGTGAAGGTCCGCACACTATGTAGGAACTGCTCTCGGCCGCGTTGGCCGAATTTTACCCCTCCATCTGACTAGCGCTGCGGTTTAGTGTTGATTTTGCATTTCCAGGAGTCCCCTTGTCACAATTGGCTTCGTCTTTACAAATATGATGTCCGAGGACAGCCGAATATACACAACTCAAAGATTTCCGACCGCCCCGGTGAACACTAGGCCGGTAGCGCGGCGCGGAGTCAGGTTCCAGAATTCTGGCAACTCCTCCGGCTCCGAGCCGCGCCGCGCCACAGACCTAGTGTGCGCCCAGCTTTAGTCGTGTTTTTAGGTTATTCCATAAATGTTCGATGGGGGTTCAAGTCTGGAGAACGGGGTGACCGGGCTAACACCCTGATGTTATGCTGTTGAAGGTGGCATTTGGACGGGTATTATCGTGCATTAGAGTAGGAGTCGCTGATTTCATCGAGGATAGGCAACGCATGATGTTTCAATATTTTACCCACATAGCGAGGGCCGTCAAAGACCCTTCACGAACAAAAACCAACTCTCCATATAAATTCCCAACTACACCATCACTAAGCTACGTTGAAAACGTTGGCTCTGGGAAAAATTACAATCACCGTATCTTTCATTTCGCCTGTTCCACACTCTTTTACGCCCATCTGGAGATCGTAGATCAAATCTACACTCATCTGTAAAACGTACAGCAGACCAATGGCTGTGTTCTCGAGCAAATGGGAGCCGTGCAACTCTGTGTTCTGGTCAATTCTCGTCCTCTTACGGGGCGAAAAGCCATCAGTCCATATTGACTTAATCTTCTTCGAGCAGTGCGTTCAGAAATTTGGACACCTCGAACTTACAGAAGCTGAATCGCAAGAACAGTACGCACGGTGCCGGAGTCGCAAAATCTCAAAGTCAAAAAACGGTCTCCTGTGGTTTTGTTACCCTAGGCCGACCAGAACGGGCCTTCTATGGTAGGACCCAGTTTTTCGAAAACACCCAAAGGCGTCCCGCTGAGTTTCGTAGAGAACTCCGACTGTAATAGCCGCATACCTGATGGAACGTCCATCATCACTAAGTGCCACACCATGTGCAACATCCTCAGCACTAAGTAGCATTTTTAAGTTTAAAAATTGAAATTAAGAAACCAAAGATGAAAACTAAACAGGTTTATTGCTTCAGAATTCAAATGAGACTGAAGAAACATTTTGAATTCCTTAAAAAGGAAACATTGAAAAATCCTTTATCCTTGTTTTTGGATTAAAAATTAAGTATGTTTACCTCTAACTGATATTCCCACTTTCAAGCATAGCATAAACAATTATTTATTTATAAAAACAAATAAACAAATTAAAGGCAGAATTTTCTTTTATCAAAAAATGGGGAAAAAACAATTTGGTGGAATTTTTTGCCTTTCAGTGTATGTGTTTTATAAAGAAGTAACATCACTTCTGCAAAATTAATTCCGTTACTGAATAAAATTTATAGACTAACTGCTAACTTTTGATGATTAGGTTTCTACCACTATTCGTAAGATTTATCTCAGGTGTTCTGTTTCTTTAGATAAGAAACCTCTTGTTTTTGTGTGCCTATACATGCTGTGGAAGATTTGAATTTCTTCAACCTCAACAACGATCCAAGAATTTATATAAATAATAGTCTTTTTAGTGATGACGGAATTTTACTCACCTTCACTATAGTATCATTGCGCAGAGCATTTATGTACCGACACGAGAGTGACTGAAACGTACAATTGTAGTACACGGGGCACCGCTTAGTCGCCCAGTCCATTTCTTGGTTGACAATCGCTAGATGAAGGCCGGTCGGGTCCCGACCGATGGCCAAACAAAATAAGATTACTTGCATGACAGGAAGTGCAAAAATAAACAGCATCACTCTGCGTACAAAAAAACTTTGTTAACACAAAGAACCGATAGACGAAGACATCAGACACATACCCGACGTTCCTCCACATCCTCAAGAAGTTCTTTTGCAGAAGCGCCTTTGTCTTGCCCTTTGTCGTCAGGTTGCAGCACTCGCCGCAGTCATCGCACGAAACATTCTCTTCTTTCGATGTCTGGGCCATACCGTTCATTTTCTGTTAAACAAAAAAAGAAGGATGAGACCAAAATTATAAACAAAATTCGGTACAATATGGGAATTAATGTTAAGTACTCACATCGTAATGTCCGTTCGCGTTGTCCTGAATGAGTATTTCCTTGTTCTGGTGGAAATTCAAACCTACGACTCCACTTTCATCCGTTACATACACTGGTTCGTCTTTCTTACCCCACTGTAGTGTAGCCTATATAATTATTTTAAAAAGTCATTAAGTTCAATTTATTTAAAACTCATGAATTAAAATAAGTGCCAAACGGTCAACCGCAGTTTTCTTAACAAAACCAAATTTAAAAAGTTCCATGAGTTTTTTCATTGTTAAAAAGTATAATTAATTAAATTGACGGTACAAGCAAAACTATTTGGGTTCATGTTGGTTTGGCAGTTAAAAGTACATTACCACTAAATTTATTATTAAATTTTTGTAGGATCTTGCATATATTAAACTAACTTATTGCTGTATAAACAATTAAAGAATATTACTAATGTTTAGTGAAAATTAATAAAGACTAATCACCTGCGACTAATCCGTTAGAGGAGCGAGCATGTAAAGTTTCATGTGTTACAACAGACTTTGTATTTTACTATTAAGGCTTTTTTATGATGAGTATAACTTACAAGAGAAATATTGTTGGTAAGGTTGGCGTCCTGGACTGCGTTTTCCTGTCCCTGCTTTCTGCTAAGTTTCAAGAAGACTTCTTCAAGGCTCTGGCAGTTGTACATAGACAAAAGTATCTGCGGCGATTCCTCAGCCAGTAATCTTCCGCTTCTCATCAATCCGATCTGGCAAAAAGTTAAAAGTTACAATTTTGCACATATTTTTATATACGGGAAGGCTTACAGTGTGTGCTTGTCTCGCCTCTTCGATATAATGTGTTGTGATGATGACAGTCTTGTTTCCGTCTTTCGTTATTTGAACCAAATGGTTCCAGATGCTGTTTAACAAACAAAAAATTGTTTTTAACAGGATTTTACCTTTTTTGTTATGGTCGTTTAGAAAAAAAAATAATTTCCAATACCTTTGCCTGAGAAGCGGATCAACACCAACTGTTGGTTCGTCGAGGATCAGCAGTTCCGGATCGTGCATCAGGGCCACAGCGAATGATACTCTTCTTTGCTGACCACCACTGAAACGTCAATAAAAATGTTAAAATTACAGTAAGATGAGGGATGGGTCGATGGGGTTTTGGCAGTAGTAGTAAGCGAGACGACATTGATCCTTCCAGAGTGAATGTATTTATTAGTGTGAATTGTATTTATTTGGTGTGACTGTGGCCGAATATCGAGTACTCACAGGCCGACCAAATTTGTATACGTATGTTAATTACAGTATGATGTAGGGGACAGGTCATTGGCATTTCGTTGATACTATACTTTCGATGTGTCGTGGCCTGTCCAGAATAAATGTATTTATTAGCGTGAGTGTTTATGCGTGAATGGATGTTGCTATCGAGCAATGTCAAACAATTTAGATTAGGATAATTTAGTGTATGAGTGGAACGGTGTAAATACAGTTGAATGTATTTATTAGCGTGAAAGAAAGATCACGATAATATTCCGACCTCCAATTTAGTTGTAGTGTAGGTTAGTATATTAGTATGAATGTGAATTGTGAAAATGTGTATAAATATTATATTTATGTATTTTAATTTACCACGTGTGGGAAGGTAACAACAAACAAGATAAAAAATCTTTTATTAGGTGAATCGGAAGGTAACAATCGTTTAGTTGGGGCATAAGAAGCCTTAGAAAAGAATGTACACTTAAGATAGCTAAGAAGACAATGCAAGAAGAAAATTAAGTTATTTGACAAAGAAATTTGCAAGATGCATAAGCATATTTAGTAACCCTTTCTTTCAACTTATTCACTTGTAATTAAAAGAGTACATTAAAAGAGAAAAACTTTTATATACCTAATAAGACCCACTATTTCTGTTCCATTCCATTTTCTCAATGATCAATTTATCATAGTTAGGTTCTTTGTAAAAATGTGGTCTAATTGATTATGATATTCCGAAATTTATAATTTTAACCAAATTTTGGGTTGTATCTTTATATAAGTAAGTTTCTTGTTTGAATAAAATTTCCATACATTCCAAATTTACAACCCTTACAATACCCCCTATACAACGATACCCCTTAACTTGACGTCAAAATGAAAAAAGATATCACTTTTACTATAAAAAGTCCATTATAAGCAAAAGTACAATAGCACTAAACAGTCGATGAAATAGTAAAATAGGAAAATCTCTGAAGAACATAAATACAAAGTCAACTTAAAATATTCTTATAAATGCTTTCTTCGTAGTATTTTGTACCTAAAATTTAAATAATTCCTCATAGTAAAAAGTTGGTGATACGGTGAAAAAATCAGTAATATAGGGCAGTTTCGTTAATATACAATCAACAAACATTACCTGAGATTTTTGACGAGCCTGCTCTCGGACGGAAGGTCAAGAAAACTGAGGAGGAACTGAAGTCTGTCGTTTATCTCGGGCGTCTCCATGCCGAAGATCCAGCCAAAGTACATCATGGTCTCTTTGATGGAAAACTCGCCGTAGAGAGCGATTTCCTAAAGAAAAAAAGGAATTGAATAATGTCCATATTCCTCTCTGGCAATCAAGTATGTTGAGGATTTTCTATCTCACCTGGGGCATGTAACCGACTCTTTTGCCGGGTACACCGCTACCTTTGGTGCCCGGCTTCCCTCCCAGAACGTAAATTTCTCCCGTGTTGAGCCTCCGCCTGCCGACGATGCAGCTGAGTAGAGTCGTTTTTCCACAACCGCTCGCACCAAGAAGACCATATCTGCAACCCAAATAATTGTTTTATTTCCGAATTTTCCTAACATACATACTAATAACACAAACTATTATTATATATTAAGAAGTACAAACAGGTTTTTATACCTGTAAGATAAAATTTAAACAACGCAATACAGCAGCAATCCCAGGCCCTGAAGATGATCTCAATAAAGATCGAAACGTTGCACGATAAAGAAAATGTTTTTCAAAACCTATATCACACCAGACCGCATACGATATTCAAATAAGCAATTCATTCGATGATCATACGAAAAGTACCAACAAAAAGCACTCTCTTACTTAAATTTCTACGATAAAATATGGTATAATGTAACACAGCATATTAAGCTTGTCATAATAATAATAATATATTCATGTTCATATAATGTACAATTTCAACTGAAAACCTATGGAAGATTTCTACCAGACGTTAAACGTTAAAAAAGCATGGAAGCGTGGTACTTTAATGACTGTGAGGCAAGCATTTTCCGGCTAGCATTACTCTCTTTATCCGGAGGCAAAGAAGGGCGTCGCGCAATACTCATTTCACAAGGGTTTCCTGGAAAGTGAAAGCAACCAGAGCAAAAACGGGTATGCAGGGCATTCACGCCTGGTCTGAAAATTTGACAAAATTCCTAATATCACTGAAGATATTATAACAAAAATTAATGTAAATTTAAAAAAATATATATAATTCCGAAAGAATTATATATGATCCTTTCACCAAATGTAATTGTGTGTTATTTAATTTAATCTAGATAATAAAAATTTAAAAAAATAAAATCAAGTTTATAAAGTACGTTCTTTAATTTTTTTGATCCTACACTTTTAGTTTTATTCGGAAGTATAAGCTTCTATTATGTACCAAATCCATCAGAAAAGAACAAAAAATTATATGAAAATAAAACAAAAGCTCCAAACCAAAAATTACATAAGTGCTGCATTAGTATTGATCTGGTAATTTTATTTAAAAGAAAATTACTTTCTAGTAAACAAGGTTTGATTTAAAAGCGTATACGCTCGAAAGCTAATCCCCACAAAAACGACATCAAGAAGTATAACAATCCATTATATTTTATACATAGTTTTATATATAGTTTTGGTTGAAATAAAAAAGCCAGTGTCACGAGCGGGACTCGAACGTACGACCTTCGGCTAAATACGCCGCTGCTCTACCACTTGAGCTAGCGTGATTTCGATCCACTCAGACATTAATTTCCCATCTCAACCTATCTTTCGAATTTTCCAACTTTTTGCCGTGTAATCGAATTCGATTCTCAGCGACAAATGAAATGGCCACGGCGAGCTTTAGTGAAGATATACTTCGTTTTACTTATTAAATCCGTTATATTTCGTGGTCCGATTGACGAAATAACGTTTTTCGATTAATTAATCTTTATGTAAAATATTGGTTGAAATGAACTGTATTAATATGTCACAGCAAAGAAAATGTATTATTAGGTATCCATATGAAACATCATTAAATAATTGTAGGTATGGGTACCATCAGTTTATGGCTAACAATGGTTTTACAATGGTTATTCATGGTTAAGATAGGACTTATATTAAACTTACCATGCCAAAAATTGAATATTTATTATTATTATGTATATTTATGGGTATATTTACACGTGTAAAGGTCCCGGACAAAACGGTCAAGAACCCAACATACTAAAAAAAAACCGGCACCACTGACCTCTGCTGTTGCGAACACACCCCGAAAAAAAATCATGACCATCCCTATTTTCTATAGATATCTAGCAGTCAGTTTTAACACTTTAACACGGAAATCAGTTTTACTTCATAAGTAACACATTACGAGAACCGATCATTTTGGCCTGTTCGACTTTTTTTTCTATTTTTAACAGGGTTCGCAACAGCAGAGGTTATATGAACCCTCGGGGTGCCAGTGTTTTTGAAAAAAAGCCCACTTGTAAGTACACCGGGTTCGAATGCAGGGCCGCTGGATTCGAACCCGGGACCTTTACAGTGATGAGCGCTGTGTCAACGCCGAAACCGTTGCGGCCACCGACGCCCCCAAAAATCTTTCGGCGTTCCACCATATTCCGGGTATGGGTTCCTAGTTGATGACGGATACATCTGTCTGAGTCTGATGCTATTGGGGCCAACAAATTGCTAAAGGATCTCCTGTCGGGGGACTCTAAACCTTCTTAAATATTATCTCACTTGAGATAAATCGGAGAAAGCAGGTTGCTGAAAATTTCTTGCGAACGCTGTGGATACAGCGCCTTTCCATGTTCAAAGTTCGCTGGCAGGATCTAATGAAGAGCTGGCCGAAACGATTAGATTATAAATATAGTGGGTTCGGCGCCTGTTTATGCAGTGACGAGTAATCAACACCAACCTGATTTAATTCAAAGCCAAAATAGAATAAATACCAACACAATTTGCCGTTTCACGACCAATAGGACTAAACAGAGGTACATTTAGAAAGAAAAGTGGACCCCGATCAACCAGAAGAACCCCATCTCCATCCTAGCCAATTTAGTTATATTAGTCAGTTTACTAGAACTCTTCTTCATGTAAAAGGCTCAGACAACATCCCAGCAGAAGTAATGATAGTAGAATAAAATTTTAAAATTGAACTGGAATTATTTTCTAGCATATTATAGGTATTCACGATCGTTGTGTTAACCCTGTTAACTCTGTTAGGTAGTGTTAGATCGAGAAAAATGATGACATAGACTTGTAAGCATCGGCTAGTTAACACTGCGCGATCTAACAGGCCAGGGCCAATGTTAAATATTAGGTCGAAAATGTAGTCACATTGCTATCCGTTAGGGCGCAGGTAACCAACATGGCAGCCATGAATATAACACCTGGTTTTTGTTTACTCGTATTTTTATTCTTAAATAGCGCATTAATTAAATCATACCAATTTTCTACCATTTCTTTTCTTAATTTCTGACCTGCCGATATACTCTCATTCATAACCGATACATACAGTTGTAGGCTGTTAGAGGTTAGGAATGTATGTATGAAGTTATGTATGTCGGCACAAATTGAAGTGTGTCATTTGTTAGTACTTTTCGAGTGCATAGATAGCATTTCGAATGAAAGAGTTGATTAATTATCCTTTTTTAGTAACTTCTGGCATTTTACAATTTAACACAAAAGGATAACAAACAACAACAAGCTTTCAATGACTGTTACAGTTTTATTATTGGTACTATCAATCGGCATGCTTAATGCAGAAAAATTAACGTTTGCTAAGAAAAGATGGTGGCGTTCACGATCTTACCGGACATTTCTCGATTCGAGTTAACACGAGTTAACATCTTACAAACATCGTGAATGCCCCTACTATGATCTTACATATGTTCTTATAATTTGTTTTGTTTTTATTTGTATTGTTTGTTTTGTTCTCCGATCTTCACTTGTCAATTTTGTTTTTTATAGTTTTATTTTATGAAAAAAAAGTGTGAGTGGGATTATTGTGCTATCAATGTAGTTTAAAGATAAATCCCTCCTTCCTAAGTCAGTTAGTATGTGAATGGTCAATCAATTTGTACAATAAATTGTGTTTAAAGTAAAATATTAAATCACAGCGGAAACCTCCATATCAATTTTACAAAAACGACGATGGGTTGGGAAAACGAACTGGAAAAATCGATAGTCAGATACGGTGAAAATGCTCTAATATTAAGAGCCTCTGATGACTACACTATAGTTGAAGTGTTGATATAAGTTTATTAGCATTTCGATAATTTTGATATTAGCTTAAGCCAGATAATTTACCAGGCTTTAGATAACACAAAACAATTTCACAGGATTATTTTGGTTTTTTTAAGGTGGGGAAATTTGTATTTGTTATTTTATCGGAAAAATGTAATTTTTCAACGAGGAAAAGGATCTATCCCAACAGTGAGCTAAAAACTGAATTTTTTTTTATATATTGCACAAAATTATCGTAAAAATCGGGGTCAGGGCGTTACGTATCGGTTACATGATGACGATTAAGATGGATTGGAAATGTCTCCACATCCCCGTTTGAAACTAAGAGGGGTGAGAGATGTTTTCTTTTATACATATTTCACGTCTATTTTTATATATTCTGAGGGTGGGGAAAGCGTGGCTTTTCCGCAACGGCCAGTTTCGAGGTAGACAAACAGTATGATTTTGTCACCGGGAATGCAAAGAAACGTTAACAGGTTGCGACAGGTGAAACACTCGCCCCCCGAGGAAACGAAAGTCATTCCGGCCTCACGGTTATACAACACAAGCAACAAAGGCCTTCGGCGAGGTTTTCTATTAATGTATATTATGACTTTTCTTATATAGTCCTATCGCTTTATTACTCCTTTCACCTTCACAATTTATTACATTCATTTTTGTTATTTTGCGATCGTGAGATGCAGTCTGGTGTGGTGTAGGTTTAGAAAAACATTTTCTTTATCATGCCAACGTTTCGATCTTTATTGAGATCATCTTCAAGGCCTGGGATTTATAATCATTGTTTAAATTATACAAATACAATGATAAGATATAAATTCATAGTCATATCTTATATGGATTTGTATAATTTAAATAAAGTTTATAAATCCCTGGCCCAGAAGGTGATCACAATAAAGATTGAAACGTTGGCACGATAAAGAAGATGTTTTTCTCAACTGATTTTGTCTGCTGTACTATATTACCGAAAATCATGCTTAATTGTATTTCTTAATTGTCTAATTGTTACGGAAGCGTTTGACCGAGTATGGCACCACGGCCTCCTTTATAAGTTAAAACGTATCCTCCCTCGTTTCTATTATCTTATACTGAAATCCTTTCTCTCGGATCGATGGTTTAAAGTGAGAATCAGCACCAATCACGCCAATCGAAGCTGGCGTTCCACAAGGAAGTATCCTAGGCCCAATCCTCTACACCATCTAAACTGCTGACATACTCACACATCCAAACTCACAACCTAAGCGGACGACACCGCAGTCTTATCAATACAGTCCAATCCTATCCTAGCAACAGAAGCAATCCAACAGCATC